GGGGGGGGGGGGGTAAATTAAATTGAATACTCGGCAAAAAGGTTATCCTCACTACTAGGGATACCGGGGAACCTCGACTTTGTTCCGTTCTTTGTGCATGTGGAAGGGGGGAGGGCGGGTGATTTTTGGCGCAAATACTTTCGAGTGCTGTGCCTGAGGTAATCATACTTAAAATTTCTTGTAGCCCCAATTTGACGGGTGTAGGGGTTACATGTTTCGGGCAATCAAAAACTTCTTGTGGCATCAATACAGTTTTCGAAGCCATAAGAAACTCTCACACTTGCATAGCAGAAAACAGAAAGTTACAGGACGAGCCTAGCAGAATCAGAGCTCTCCCAGAAAGAGGGGCAACAACGGAAACAATAATCAGGGACAAACAAATCTGAATAACAGACGGAAAGATGTCATAAAGAAAGAAAGACATAAAAAATACAAGGAACTAAATGACGAAAGAGCGAAAGCAAGACATACATTATTTAACAGTAGGGAGGACAAGGCGAGGAAAGCACTGCATCCCTGCGAGCGGCTGAAGCCATTCATCATATTCAAGGAGTCATGTTGCGGTGTTGCGTTCTTTTTCTTTTAATTCTGCCTCCATCTTCTTAGGGGCCCTGCACCCTAGACTCGGGCTCCAAGAACGAGCTTTAGGGAGCCTAAGGTTTAGAGTTTAGGCTATAAGGTTTAGGGTTTAGGTTTAGGTTTAGGTTTTAGAGTTTAAGGTCTAGGGCCTAGACCTTAAGCCCTAATCCCCGAAGGACAAGAAACTGGGCCAAGACAGCTTGCCTTGCAGGATCCTGCATGTTTAAACCGAAGCCTGCTTTATACGCGTAGTGCTATTAACATGGGTTCGACTGTTATGTTGATATAAGGTGGAGCGATGCCCCAATCCTTAAGACTCAAGTTATAAGACCCTCAACTCCTCACTCTGAAGCCCTATAAGCCCTAAACCCTCAATCCCAAGCCCAGCCGAAACAGCAACCTCAAGAAGCTCATTTGAGTTTGTGTGTGTTCGTGTTTTTCGACTGGGAGTGCTTGAGACTTCTGAGGCATCGAGTTAGGTGTGCGGAACCCAGAGAGCCCAATACCCCGAAATTAAGGAATATACCTTAAGTTGTAGGACCCTTGCTATTAAGGTTTAAGGTGCATTCCATAATTAAGGCGTATTGGGCTCTCTGGGAAACACAAGAACTCGTATCCCATCTCCCACAATGCTTGCAGATGTACATCTGTATGTATGCTTGCTTGAGTGTATCTATGTCTGTTGTTTGTACATGCATGCATGCTGCATGGATGTATGCACACATGCGTGTAGATGTGTAGGTACACTCGTATGTTTGTATGATTGTTTGCATGTATGTACGTATGTATGGATGGATGTGTGTATGTAGGTAGGTATGTCGAGATGTCGGGAGCTGGACAAAAGATGTAATAGAATTATCTCCTTTTCTACACGGCGTCTCTCTCTCTCTCTCTCTCTCACCGGAACCGGAACTTGCATGGTCCAGGCCGGATGATGGCAGCAGCCTTTCCAGCTGTACCCTCGGACTGCCCTGGATGTTATAGTGACTTCGGGAGAGTTAGTGCGGCTCTGGGGGTCTAGGGTTTAGTGTTTATGGCCTAGGGTCCTAAGGTTTATGATTTAAGGCTTAGGGTTTAGGGTTTGAGGTTTGGGCTTTAGGGTTTAAAGGGCTCCGTGTTTAGGAACCGAACAGCGGTTCCATCCGAGTAACAAGCAGCGGCTGGGGCCGCAATGGGCGTGTTGAGCATGGATTCTTGGGTTCGGCGTCTCAGGACCTCGTTCAACCTAGAGACTTCAATATCCCTTAATTAAGGAATATACCTTAAATCCTATTAAGGATCCCACTAGCAGTTAAGGAATATTCCTTAATTAAGGGATATTGGAGTCTCTGGGAACTTTGAGGTTTTGTGCGCTTCGATGTTACGTGGAGGTTCATGGGTAGTTATAAGTGGGGTTATAAACTGAAGTAGGGTAACTGTAACTACACCCCGTATTAGGGGACTTATAGCCCCATTTATAGCTACCCATGAACCTCCAAGTACTGTAGAAAGCCGGTCTGGTTTATGCCCTGGAAACGCTCGACCATGCGGCTCGGATCAGTCGCACAAGAACTTGTGTTGCAGCAGATAGCAGGGCTCGTCGAGTAGATCATGCAGAGTCGTTGATTTTTCTGGTATGCTGCGTGATTGTCAGGTACATGCGTTGATATCCTGTGCCCCTTATTCATAGTGCAAAAATGCGAGCTCGATGCTTGTTTGTCGGCACGGTTCTGCTTGGATCTGCAGGCTTCTGGTGGATATCCGAGTCCCCCAACTTTCAGTCACTCCGTGCAGGTGTCGCGGGCTCTTTTGCTGAAGCTCCGCGAGCAGACTTTGCTGCAGCATCGCGGGAGAATCGATCAACTGAGCCTCACATCGCCATCGACGGAAACATCCGAAGCAACGACAGCACGATTTCGCTTGCTGAACCTGAGTTGCTAGAGAGTGCTGTTGAACTGTCCACATCTGTTTCTCAGTCAGCAGCCGCCGACGTGCAGCCGACGACCTCAACGACACCGTGCATGGAGCCTTCGCTTCCTCCAGCGCTGTCAGATGCCGATGCGGCAAGCCTGAGATCAGCCGTCAAAAAGATGACGAAGAAGTGGGGATATGAGGAGGCTGAGAAGAACTTCAAGCCGTTCAAAGGTTTGCGCTTTCTGGATATTGGTATGGGTCAAGGACCCATGGGCGTTGTAGCCATGGAGGCAGGTGTGCAGTCCTACTGGGGTTTCTGGTTCCTGTAAAGCAATACAGTTTGTTTCCTTACAAAAATCAGAATCAAAATCCGCTAAACCCATAAAGCCCCTAAGCCCTGAAACCCCCAAACCCCAAACCCGTTAATCCTACTCCCTCAACCGCCTAAACCCTACACCCAGGTTTGGATCCTGCCCTCTGCATCAACAAGCCCGCGCGCACGCGCAACCGAAGGATGGGCAGAACACCGAGCGAGGGTGACTCTGTACTAGTAGAAGAGCAAGTAAACTTAAACCCTTTTAGGGCTAATGTCTGAATCTGTATATATACCTATATGCACACATGTATATGTATGCAATATATATATATATACATATATATATATATATATATAGCATACATATATATATATATACACATGCGTGTATGTCTGCATATATGTTCATAATCGTGTATATTTGTATAGTGTGTGTATATATATATATACATATGGAGATACATACTCTCCGTATTCTGAATGAGAACAAGTATAGACAACCCGCAAGGTTAAGCTTTACGTTCCCCTCTCAGGTAACTCCCTAAACCCTAAACCCTAAACCCTAAACCCTACACCCTAAACCCTGAACTATAGAAGCCTCCGGAGCCGAATAATCCCCTTGAAAAAAGGAGCCACGACGGTCCGCATCCCCTCCAACTTAAAAAAAGGAACACTACAGCTCCGTTTTACAGAAACCTTACTCCGTTTTACAGAAACCTTATAACAACATCAGAAAGGAGCCCAAGGAGGGCCCTAAACCCTCAAACACAACCTTAAATTACTAAGCCCTAAACCTTCAACCCTAGACCTCAAGCCCTAAACCTAAATCACCAAACCCTAAACCCAACGTTTCTAAACCCTAAACCCTTCTAAGGTGAATGCAAGCAACTCTTGGGCCCGACGTGCAAAACCACTTGTGCACGGTACCAGCGTTGTATCTAGGCGGCAGGGTTTAGGGTTCCTTGGAAGGAACTATAGAGGCTCCTATAAAGGGATCTATAAGGTCTATAAAGGGTTCTATAAGGGAACCTTCCTATAAAGGGATCGGTAAGGGTTCCTATAAAGGGATTTATAGGCGTACTGTAGGGGTTTAGGGTTTAGGCGGCAGGGTTTAGGGTTCGGGATATCGGGTTTGGGGTTTGGGTTCAGGGTTTGGGGTTTCGGGTTTACGGCTTAATCATACGTGTATAGGGTTTCGGGTTTGGTCAGGGCTGTAAGCTTTTTATGGGTTTAGGGGTTTAGGGTTTTGTTCGGTCACTAGTTTTATGAAGGAGCTAAAGATCGGAATGTTGCAGGGCCGGCAAGAACAACCCAGGTATGACCGCAGCGGCTGAGAAGTATGGCACATTTCCTTTCACTGGGGTTCAAATCATGCAAGCCTTCCCAGGCGGGGACACAGGGGTAGATGTTTACTGGTTTGCATCCGGTTGACAATCAGGGGCGTCCCTAAACCCTACGCTCCTAAACCCCATTCCTCGGTATGGATGCGGCTTGCACTGCCAGGTTGTTTTGTTGACAGTTTTGCGGTTTAGGCTGACATAACTTGCTATGTATTCCTGGTAAATGCGAGCTGAAGTTGTCAATACTCCATTCCCCAGGAAAAGTGATTCTGCTTCCCGGCACCTTCGAGACGATTCAACCGACTGGCCTTATCAAGCGTGGCGACTTCGATGCGGCCGGCATGTTTATGGTTAGCGAGCACTTGCCGGATAACCGGCTTGTGGTGGAAGGTGTCTTTGAGTGGACGAAGCCTGGTCAGCTATACTACATCAAGCATCATAACTACTACGGCTTCGACGGCCATCATCAAGAGCTGAAGGACCCTTCAGCCTATGATCCCAAGAATGCTGCCCATCAAGGCGTCGCATTCTGGAATCACTTGGAGCCCTCCAGTTGGATCTTCAACAGCACCGATATGAATCGGATAAGACTGGGAGATCTCATGGCCTTAGTTCACGTTTACTTTGAATGTGCCTGGCGTGCAAACATTGATTTGAAATGGGCCAAGGCCCTTGATGACAGACCGGAGTTGCTTCAATCGCTCGAACGACGTGGATTCGCTCATGCAGAGCTGCTGGTTAACAAGTGGGCCGGCTCTTGTCAAAGACGTGAAGAAGCTCTGGATGCTCCCTGGCTGGCATCACGGATGTGGTTCCATCCGCCATCGGACGGCTCCTATTCACCGCGGCCTTTTCCCAAAGAGTTCAGTCTAAAGAACCTCGAATGTGGGCATAGCCTGAAGAAGCACAAGCAGTACCTTAGGGGCACTTAGAAATAATTTTAATCTTTGGTTACTATATACCCTAAGAAGCAGCTAAAAATATAATTTTTGCTAGGGGTCTAAGTTCATCATAGGTACCCCCTGGATGGTATTCTTTATGCTCCACCTGGGCTTGGCCATCGCTTGGTGAAGTACCTCTCTGCAGGTCCCTCATGCCCATAGGAGCTGCGATCGCGACATGCATCCTAAACCCTAAACCCTAAACCCTAAATCCTAACCCCTAAGCCCATAGGAGCTGCGATCGCGACATGCATCAGAAGACCGAGCTCAGCATGAATCCGGGTGTAAGTTGCTGGGCTCTTTTATCAGGAAATCAGTTAAAGCTACCATAATACTGTTGATGGGCAAAATTCTGCATGACCCAAATATAGTATAGTACCATAAATCCCATGGTTTAGGTATATAAGGTCATGCAGGATTTTGTCCATCAACCGTAGGGATCTATGTCATGCAAAGGAGTGTGTGTTAGTGACTGTTAGTGTACCATAATATGGAAACCTTGTTGTTTTCTATAGGTCCCAATTACGGTAACTTAAGTTAGCCTCCATATCCAGAACCAAGGTCACGACGAAGACTTGACCTGGAGGGCACCCGGTGCGGGTGGAAGGAGACCTAGGATGTCGGCCCATCAATTGGGAGATCAGTGAGGCTCACGGCGGCACTCTTGCCCGGCACATGCTTGAAGGATCCTGGGACTTAGTAAATATGGCTTTAAGTAAGGCAGCTTTAGTTATAAATACCTTTAACTTACAACCCAAATCGAGGTACGTATAGCCTTCCTTACTAAGTCCCATGAACCTCCAAATGCTGGACCATGGAGTATCCCTTCAAGATTGCGCAAGTCAGGTGAAGGTCTTGGTATGCTCCTCCTCGCGATGGCATGGCATGCTTGCTCAGTGGAACTGTCTCCGCGGCGAACGACGTTCAGACTTCCGCATCACCAGCATCGAGATCGAATCCTCCAGCTGTACTGGTGGCTATGCAGCCTCTGAAGAATGGCTGTGTAGTAGTTTCGAAACCCGCAAACCGAAAACACCAAACCTTGATCCCAAACCCAATCTAACCCTAACCCTACAACCTGAAGGCTCTAAAACCCGACACCATAAACCAAGAATCCCAAGCCCTCTGCAAGAAAGAGCAAAAATCAATCCGAAGCCAAAGAAACCCTAAACCCTAAACCCTAAACCGACCCTAAAGTCTTCGTGCTCGCATGCAATCCGCGCGCAGGAAAGAGGTGGCCCAGGATTGGTCTTTAGGTTTGGGGGTTTAGGGGGGCTTTAGGGTTTAGGATTTAGGGTTTAGGGTTTAGGGCTTAGGGGGGCTTTAGGGTTTAGGGTTTAGGGTTTAGGGTTTAGGATTTAGGGTTTAGGGTTTAGTGTTTAGGGTTTAGGATTTAGGGTTTAGGGTTTAGGGTTTCTGGGGGCTTTAGGGTTTAGGGTTTAGGGTTTAGGGTTTTAGGGTTTCTCATGGGTAGTTTTAGGGTTTAGGGTTCAGGGTTCCTTTAAGGGTTCTACGAAGGTTTAGGGTTTAGGGCCTACTGGCAGGTCCTTAAAATTCGGGTTGGGGTTCCGTGAAGGGTTCTACAAGGGTTTAGGGTTTAGTGGGAGGTGTCTTAGTAGGGTTTAGGAGTTTAGGGTTTGGACACCCCGACAGTTTCCCCCAAACTCTTTGGTCCTAAGCCGCAAACCCTGAACCAAATTCAGACCCCCCCAACGACCCTGTAACAAAAACCCGAGAAGTACCCACTATTCCGGACCTTTAGGGCTCTATTAAAGGGCACCTTGAGTCCTAGTAAACCCTAAACCCTAAACCTTTGGTTTAGGGGTTAGGGTTGAGGTAAACCCTTATAAACCCTAGGCCCTAAACTTTAAGGTTTAGGGTTTAGGGTTTACTCTAAACCCCAAGCCCTATGTTCCCTAAGCACTTTTACCCCTAAGCCCTACTTGGGTGGTTGTCAAGATTATGGTCCCTTTTGGGGTACCCTAAATAGTAGGGGCCGTATTATAATAAGGACCCAAAAAAGGGACCATAATTTTGACAACCACCCAAACCCTAAACCCTAAACCCTAAACCCTAAACCCTAAACCCTAAACCCTAAACATAAGCACGTTTACCCCTAAGCCCTACTTCGACATGGTGAAGCAAGCGACCGGTAGCGCCGAGGATCTGCAGAGAGCGAAGAGGACGCTGGGTTTGCTTTGGCTTCATAGGGTTCTATTAGGCTCGAAAAGTTAGAGTTTAGGGGTTCTATTAGGTTCGAAAAGTTAGAGTTTAGGGGTTCCATTAGGTTCGAAAAGTCAGAGTTTAGGGGTTCTATTAGGTTCGAAAAGTTAGAGTTTAGGGGTTCTATTAGGTTCGAAAAGTTAGAGTTTAGGGGTTCTATTAGGTTCGAAAAGTTATAGTTGAGGGTTTAGGGTGTAGGCTATAAGGGTTCGATAAGGGTTCGAGAAGTGTTCCATAGGGGTTCCATAGGTAATAAGAAATCCAGGTTTTTGGGGCTTAGGGTTTCGGGGACTTTGGGCATTTTAGGGCATAGGTCCATTGTTTTGAAAAGGGCATGGCGGTTGGAGAGTTGGGGCTTGCCTTTACCCAGACCCCCGGGAGGATCTAGAAAGTAGATCCCTTAAGGGGGGTTCCTGTAAAAAGCCTTTAGTAGTATAGGGTCCCAAATTGGAGGTTCTACTCTCTAGATCCTTCCGAGGGTCTGGGTACAGGTCTGTCAGTGCTCTTGGTGTTTTCTCGAGCTTCCCTAAGAGCCCAGGTAGACCAGTTTTACAGACTTTGGGGCCCACAGTCTATGAATAGTACCTCTTTTGGGCTAGTTGGAGTCTTAGAGGTTTCCTATACTGGTCGGAGGTTTCGGGATTTCAGATTCAGGTTTAAGCTTAGGTCGTCCGGGGCTTGGGATGTAAGATGTTCGAGCCCATAGATTCGATTGCATGGCGAAGACGTGAAGCATTGCATCGCGCTGAGACGTGTGCCGTTCTCTCGTACTAAACCCTAAGCCCAACACCTCCCAAAACCTTGCTTGACTTACTTGGAGGTTCACGGGTAGTTTCAAGTAGGGTTATAAGCCCCCTACCATTGATGTGGGTCATAATGTAGGGGCCTAAATCATGAATTGCCCATACTAGTTTGGGGGTTCCTTATTCTCAATATAGTATAATATCCCCCAGCACCCTAACTCATTATTAAGGCCCTATGCTAACCGTAGCTAGCCTACATTTTGCGAGTGTTTGCAGTAACGCGAACAGGATGTCCGTAACGGGAACCCGTAACAGGAGCCCTAAACCCTAAACCAAAAACCCTAAATCCTAAACCCTAACAGGAACGGGGACCGACCCTTTAAGAGCAACCACCAGTTCCTGTAACACCCCCCCAGGCCGCCCCTCGTAACAGGGGTTGAGGGTTTAGGGTGTAGGGGTTTAGGGTTTAGGGTTTAGGGTTTAGGGTTTAGGGGTTTAGGGGTTTAGGGTTTAGGGTTTAGGGGTTTCGGGGTTTAGGGTTTAGGGTTGTGGGGTTCCAAGAATGATTTGTTTCACATCCACCTGTTCTTGTGGGCTCGCCTACTCATGGGCCGCTTTCCGGGCCCCCACTTCTATGGCTTCAAGATGTCATGTCATGTAGCATTAGAAACTGACCTCATACGTCCACAGCAACCTTTGTCCTGAATTTCCGGTGGCTACTCTAGAATAACATTGCATGTGTCTGCTGCGTGTGAAACCTGCGAATTTCGTGACTTGTGTGCACGATCGTATGACGAAGGCTCCGGTGTGTAGTCTGATCACTTCTTTCTTCGTCCTACTTCCGGTGCTAAGAGCTGACCGAAACCCCCAAACCCCCAATGCCGCTCTCGAGCACCCTGAAACACTAAACTCCTAAACCTCCTACATACCTCTGCAGGGGCAAAGTGGTAAAACCCGAAAGCCTAAACCCGCAACCCAGAAAGCAAGCCAAGCTGGCACTGGTCAGTCCACGATGACGTGCAAAAGCCTAGCCCCGCCACCAGTAGTAGTAGTGCTCGTAGCACGGCAACTTCGACTTGCGTTAGTAGGAACCTTCTTGTAAGATAAAACATCCATATTCTTTCGACGAAAGCGGTACGAAGAACCAATTTGTCGCTTCAGAGACAAGGAGTGTATTGCCACTATCATTTTATGTCCGAAACCGTGAATCTGCTTCAACCCCAAAACTTTTTTATGTCTCGAACGAAACATAGGCGTCAGCAAAAGGCTTCCATGGTGTCAAAGTAGGGGACCGAAAACCGGTCCCCCACACGAGTTCCAGCATACTTTCGGTTGCTTGGCTTTCCTGGGACAGTTCCTGTTACGCTCCTGGTGCGGTTCCTGTTTCTGTTAGCCTGTTAGCCCTTGCTCCCGTTACGACCCCCAGAACTGGTTTCCATTACTTCCCAAACGGGTTCCTGTTACTGCCCGCGCCCGGCAGTACATTTTGCTCTACTTATAACTACCCTAAACCCTAAACCCTAAACCTTTAAACCCTTTAGACTCCTGAAAGGAACCCGACTTATAACTAAAACCTAAACCCTTAAACCCTGAACTACTGAACTACCCATGGACCTCCAAGTAAAGACACTTGATAACTTGGGAGGACGGCGAGCTCTGCATCTCCGGCAGACAGGTGCCAGCGGTTTCGGGGGCGCAAGGGAGGCGGAGTCGGAAAGCGGTTTCTTCAAGGCTTCCGTTTAGGGCCCCTTTAAGGGCTCTTTTAAGGGATGGTAGGGCTTTGGGCTCCTTTAGCGGGATCCTTTAAGGATTACTATAGTGAACCGCAAAACGATTGGGACATATATTTGGGATGACAAGTGCTGGAATTGTTGGAAGTTTCCTATAATTCCCCCTTAAAGGGATGATGTTCCAATTTTCTGGCTTGTACTGTAGGGTCCTTTTGAGGGATCTTTCAAGGGTTCCTTTAGGTTCCTGCAAAGGGTTCCTTTAAATAAAAAGGGCGCCTCTGCGGGATCTACAAGGTTCTACAGGGTTTTAGGGTTTCAGGATTTTGTGTTGATAGGGTGTAAGGTTCGGGATTTGGGGTATAGGGCGATGGGAACTGGAGCTTAGGTACGTGAGCCGTCAACATGTTCGATAAGCACCAAGCGGACTTTGCTTGCTGGAGTTCTCAATATTGGAGGTCTGTTGTTT